TCTATTTCCGCCTCTCTTCCTCTTTATTTTCCGAAGATTATTCTACTATTTAAATAACCAATCTACTGACTTTTTGGACCGTATATTTTCGTTAATTTAACTGATGGAATGGATAAATAAGCAACCATTGACTTGAATAATTTGTGTTTTCTGAATTGAAAGTAAAAAATTAAAAGAAAATAGAGAAAAGAAAGATAAACAAACTGAAAGAAAAAAAAAATAAAAAAATTAAATTAAATACCAAAAAAAAAAAAAATAAAAAATAAAAAAACTAAAAATAAGTGGGATAGGACTAAAGAACAAAACTTCTTTATCAAAGGACTAACGTAACAAACAAACAACAAATACACAAAAAAAAATAGAACAATTTATATAAAAGGATAATGGAAGCAACTAAACATAAATAAACAGACAAAGAAATTGAAGTAAATTTACTCTCCAAGTGGACAAAAATTTTTAACTTTTTACTTTTCATCTGTTATCTTTGTATTTTCCATGATTATTGCTTTTAAAAATACAAAAGAAACCTTTACAATAAAAAAACAGTGAGTCCCTTTTTTCCACTTTTAGATTCTTTTTCGTTCTTTTTTTTTTGTCTTTTTGTTTTACAGTTGTATTTTTTTCTCTAATGATCATCACGATTATATGAGCAGATAGCCTGCTACTAAATAAAAATAAACAAAAAAAAAACAAATTTAAAATAATGAGTACGAAAAATAAAAACCTAAAACAAAGGAATTTTCAAATAAAAACATTAATAAAAAAAAAAGGAAATTTAAATACTCACAGAAAAAAGGATTCTATGCAATTTTACTGAAAATTAAATAGTACCGAACGCAAATAGAAAATGCGTAACGCAACAATTTGGTATTCAAAATGTCGGCGAAATTATTTAAAATTACAGTTTTTTGCAAAAAATTGTGTTGTGCCGAACCATTTTGTGGCTTACAGCTTACCTCAAAGCTTAGTTTTAATTTTTTAATTGAAGGTGACATTATACTCATATTCGTTCTTTCGAACATTCGGTTTTATAGCAAGTTTAGTATTGTAGTTTTAATAGTATACTTTCTTTGTAACATTTAATTTTTTAATGACACCGCGTCATCGAAATGGAATATACTATTTTATGTAAATTTTTAAACCACAGTAAACGAAAGAAAATAATACCAAATTCCAGTCATTCAAACGACTGAAAATAACGAAAATATAAAAATTGGATGTTTCTCGATTCTATTACTTTGCTTCTGTACTTGTAAGGAGGTGCAAGTGGCTTTCGATGAAAGTTTCTAATAACTACTAAAACTACTTCGAAATTAATGTCTTCTTTACAGGTTTATTGTTTACCAACATTTGAAAAAACTATATACATAAAAATCTGTAAAATTATATTTATAGTCTTTTTTAATTTATTCAGTTTTCGATTCCAAGACTTCAATGTTATGCCACTCTCCTGGTCGAAATATCACCAATTTCATGTTTAGAATCTAAAGGTGGAATCGACGATATATCGCCAATATAAGGAAAATATTACGACAACGAAAATAATTCAGTCTTCTTGACGTCAACTAATGCAAAGAGAATCACTCAAAATATAAAAACACAAAAAATTAAACAACAAAAAAAATCACATTATATAAATACATGAAAGTTATTCCGTAATACCAATAACTTTTGATTGTTAAAAAGAAAAGGTGACCTTTGCAAAAAACCAAATTGAATGTTGTATATTGAGTTATTCATAGTAATTTCTCTCTATTTTCAATAAAAACTAAATATTTTAATTGTACTATATGTACAATGAACTACACAATTAAAGAACGAATTGTGGCTTAATTTTTATTGACATAAAATAAATGACGGTTTCCAAATATGTGTGTATGTCTTAATTCTATAGGTCACCTAATGGTTAAGTATCTTTAAATTTAAAATAAAATGAGCTAAAAGAGATTAATTATTAAAGTCTTTATGTACATATATATGTATGTTTTGCATAAGTATTTTCCTTTTTAACAAAAAAGGGTTAAAATTGAGGAAAAAGAAAATATTTTTTAACCGTTATTTTTCTTATAAAGTTAATTTTCCATTCTCTCCTTGTTGTCAGTGCAAATTCATTTCACTTTTTTTTGCTTGTTTTTATTTTTTATAATTTTTTTTATAAGTTAATTTTTTCATATCTATTTTTTTCTCCCATTTGATTCTCTTCGTTTTATACACGTCATATTCAACTTAACTGCCATCTCACTTTTACTTTTCCTTTTTTACCCAATATGATGATGATTTGCGTAGTGTATGCAGAACTGTCGTTTTTGCTTCAATTTAATATTTCTTCTGCAATCCAACAACATTCAATGCTATACTGAACTTTGCTTCCATTCGCTGAAATATTTCCATTGGAAAAACATTTTCTGTTTTTATACCCGTACGAAAGTTTGTTCGTATTGAAATTTCGCCCAAGCAAATATTTAATAAAACTAGTTGAAATTTCTTTATTTGTGGTGGTAGCTGCTATACAGCTTTGAAATTCATTTATATTATGGAAACTATTGAAATTAGAGTGTTGAAATTTTGTATCAATTAATAAAAAATCTGAAGTACATATGGAACAATGTGACAATCAACAGACATCACTTAAAATCATTCGTTCGTTCCATCTATTCTCGTTTGTTTTTTAATATTGAAAGTTTGAGATCGAAATTTTTGTGCAGTTCAAAATAAAAATAAATTTAAATAAATTTAAAAAAAAAGTTAATGCGCTTCTTAGTTTTTGATCTGGAAATATAACACTGGCGAAATCATATTTTTACCATAATTATCAATAAAGATCATTATTTCAGTATAATAAAAGGCGAGTTCAGTATAATTGTCCTAAATTTAAATAAATTTATGTATTTAGATAATATAATCTTTTTTCAAAAAGACTCATCAAAATATATGAAAAAGAAATCTGTTGTGATATAACCGGATCAATACATCTTCTTCATTTCAACACTTTATTATAAAACGGCAACACTGAGTGTATGCCTACCTTAGTTTTCGTTTCTCTTTTTGTTTATTATCAAAAAATTTAAAGCTTTTGAAGCTACGATTTTGCTAAGAAAAACTAAAAATTGGAGAAGAAAAACGAAAATTTAAAAAAACAAAAAGAGAAAAAATAATTTCCTACATTTATTTTTCTTTCGTTTTCTATTTTTCTCTCTTTTTTTTTCTGTTTTCATTAAAGATCCTTTTGACCAAAAACAAAATAAGAAAAAAAGAATATAATTTATTATTCCGAGTAATTGAATTTGAATAACAAAGTACATAACTTATAAGAGTAGAAAAGTGAAAAATAAAGAAAAAAAAAATCTGATGTGGTCAGCACATAACCGACCGCAATGTGTATTGTTTAGTTAAGTGAAAGTGTTACAGAATATTATAGAAATGTCTGTTAAATACTTCTTTCCAATTTTTAGGACATTAGTAAGCTTATAGTTAACATACTTAGAAAAATATAAATTTGGCTCTTAGTAGAGTTTCGCTTTGTGCTACCCGAACTCCCTGAAAGGCTCACCAGTTAGTTTCGGTAACAACCAGAACTCAAATATCAAATTTCAAGAAACTCCATCAATTCGTTCCGTAGATATGATGAAAAATGTAAAATCGGCCCGCAGATCAGTTTTCGAGCCCTGATCTTTCCAAAAAATAATTTACATGTTCATTGTTTTAATACAAGGAATTCAAATATTAAATTTCAATGAAATCGGTTGATTATTTCTCTTTATATACACAAAAATGTATATTTGGCCCGTAGTAAACGTCCAGTTGCCGATGCCTGATTTGTTCCAAAAGCTAGGAATTTTCACGGACGGTCAAACAAAGCTTATATATGAAATTTCAAGTAAATCGGTTGAATATTTTCTTCAAAATGGTGAAAAATGTGAAATCGGCCCGCAAATCAGTTTTCGAGCCCTGATCTTTCCAAAAAATTTATATGTTCATAGTTTTCATAAGAGGAATTTATATATTAAATTTCAATGAAATCGGTTGATTATTTCTCTTTATATACACAAAAATGTATATTTGGCCCGTAGTAAACGTCCAGTTGCTGACGCCTGATTTCTTCCAAAAGTTAGGAGGTTTCATCGCCGGAAGAGCAAAACTTATATATGAAATTTCAAGTAAATCGGTTGAATATGTTCTTCAATATGCTCAAAAATGTAAAACAGGCCCGCTAAAAAGTGCAGTTCCCGAGGCCTGATATATACCAAAAGTTGATCGATCCGTGCCATGGTGGAAATAAACTTACATATAAAATTTCATTAAAATCGGTTCAGCCGAACTTGAGATACACGCGTGCACACACAGACCGACAGACCGACAGACCGACAGACCGACAGACCGACAGGTTGCTAAAAATAGTTTATTTACACTTCCCTACTATGGAGAAGTACGTTCCCACCGAAAACTCGATATGCAAAATTTGTTGCCATCACATAACCTACCTATTGTTTACACAATACGGTCGGTAATAACAAGTATGGGGATGAGAAAAGAAGATGCAAAGAAACAAAGTGAAACACAACACAGCCAACATAACAAATGAACATTTCTTTAAATTTTTTAGGGGAGTTTAGTAGTGTACTGCTGTACAAATTCGACATAACAAATGACATATACACGTATAAGAAATTTTTTTATATATATATGTATATATACATGTATGCATGGTTTATGTATGGATATGTATGTGCACATAAAACAAAAAAATTTGTTTATAAAGAAATTTATTTAAATAGAGTTAAAGAAAGGAAGAAAACATAGCAAATGAAAAAAGACTTTTTGACTAATAATAATAAAAAAAAAAATCAAAAATAATAAAAGTAAAAACAAAAGAGAGAAATGAGGGAAGACAAACCGGTTTCTGAAATTGTTTCTTTTTTTATGTTTTACTTTTTTCATTTTTTTTTTTCTTTTGTTATTTCTTTAATCTATTGTTGGTTTTTTTTTTTGTTTTATTATAGTGATTGCTGGTCCTGTGAAATTTCGACATCATTCCGAATTAAATATTAAAATAAGAAGAGAACTGGAAGAGAAAAACTCTAAGTGGTATGATACAAATAAAAAATAGGAGAAAAAAAGGATAAAATAGGAGTAAAAGTTAAAAAAAAAAAATAAAAAAAAAAAAACAGAAAAATAAAATTAATTTGTTTTTTCTTCGTAACAAAAACAATAAAAACAAACGTGAATAACAGTCTTTATTCATTTAAAACTACAGCAAATGGACAACAAAAAAATTTAAGTAAACATAATAACAAAACAACTATGAAGAAAAAAACCTAAATTAAAACAATACTAAAAACACTTTAATAACAACAATAATAAACAGTGATTCTAACAGAACGTGTAAACATACACACAAACACACACAAGCACATTTTTATTCTAATAAAAAATATAATCATTAAGAGAAATTCGAAAATAATTGCTCTTACCAAAGAAGTGTTAGTGAATGAATAATGATGGTAAGCATTTAAAATAAGAAGGAAAATAAGAAAAAAGATAATGTTTTCATATTTTAAGTGAGAAAATAAAAAAATATGTAACAAAAATTAATTTGTTAATTAAATAAATATTTTAAACGATTAAATTAGATAGAATTTATTTTATAAAATTATTATTGTGCTAAAAACTAAATTATAAAACAAAAAATTTACATTATTAAGAGATAAAGATCCTTTTTTATATTATATACACACATAATAATATATTTGAATAACAAAAATATATGAGTGCAATAATAAGGTCAAGTTTACACCTGGCAGAATTTGAATTTGTCAAATTTAATAGCATTTTGGTAGGATTTTCATATTTAATTTTCGCGAAAATTCTTATGTATAAAACTACATTAAATTGATAGGATATTTTTTTTATTTTATTTTTCATTTTGAAATATTTCTTGAAGAAATGTGTGAAATAGTTATACACTATAAAGAAACATTTTAGAATTTAACTCAATATCTTAAATGAAATTGCAACCCCGTAAATAAAAGGAAAAACTTCAACGATATTTCACATTATACATACATACATATATAAATTTGAATTTACATATAATTCAGTTACATACATAATTATATTTGCAAAAATAATATTATGAATACAAAAAGAAAAAAATATCATAAAAATTATATTTTACAAATGTTACTTGAATTAAAAGAACTTGATTAAAATATTGAGAGAAAAAAATTAACAGCTACGAGTATTACAATTTTCAAAAATTACAAGGAGAAAATACAACAAACTTACCTACTTATAAATAAAAAAATTTTTAATTTTTACCTTACCACATATACATATACATAAAAGGCTGTGTGCATTTAATATTATTGAAATAATAACTAAGTATATTTTGAAATTTTTTTTCGAATACAAAAAACTATTAATATAAAAACTCTAAAAAATTAACAAAGCTAAAGGAAAGAACCGAAATGATGGCGAATTTAATGGAATTTTTCTTATTTCTTATTTTTATTCAAGGTAAGTCCTTTATTTAATTTTATTAGAAATTTTATATTTAATTTTATATTTGCATTTACCGTCGAGTAATTCTCAGTATAATAGTTTTCTCATTATTAATAGTTTTCTCAGTGTAACATAGAAACAAAAATTTGTAATTATAGTTTTATTGTATGCCTTTCATTTATATCAAAAGAATAATTTGGTTTTAATTTTGTAAATGGAATGTATTCTTTTCCCTGGCTTGCTATACATATTAAGAGGAAGAGATAGAGGAGATTTACAGTGTAATGTCTTCTCAATGCGTTAAGAGGAAATTTGGCGCTATATTTGTTATTTTTGATATAAAAATGGTAAACGTTGTTATAAATTTGGGTTGTTATACGTATAAATTTGTGCTAGTAATGGTGTAGCTGGAAATGAATTAGAGAAATTTAGTCTTCATATATTTGTATTATAGAAAATGGATTATTTTAAAATTAGAAATATAATTAAAAAAAAAACTTGATAATCTTCAATAGTAAATTTAAGTTTCTAAAATTGACTTTTTCTAAATATGTTAACAAATTTTAGGTAAGATTTATTTTATTTAATAAATTGCTAAAGAATGTTTAAATTTAACTGGATGATTTTGAAAAATTTAACCCAACTTTAAGTTAAACTTCATAAACTGTGTACGTTGTGTTAATTAAGGACATAAATGAAATGTAGAAATTATTCCTCTTCTTCGTTTGAAGTTTTAAAAAATTTGAAGCTCACATTGTAATAGTTTTCAAAAAAATTTTTCAATATTCTTCTTTAGCAGAAGTTATAAAATTGTAAAATTTGCTTCTAAAATCATTTTACTAAAAAATATTTTAAAGATTATATTTTTTCCCGGTCATTCAGTTATATAAAAGCTTTAACGCAAATCTCTGCACTTAGGGAAAATATACACTCGATTACGTTCTGTTTAATAATATCTCTATATATGTATAAATAAGTGAACATGTATATATATATATATTCACATGTCGGATGTTAATTATGTGGTATTTGAAAATATTTGTTAAAATACTTTCATATTCTATTTCACTTAGTTTATGCAAATCACTAAAATTGAACCGTTCAACACAAAATTCTGAGCTCCAGTACAGTATAACTATAATAACTGTTCATGAGCTTCATAATTTTTTTTTGCTCCAAAATTAAATCTTTAAAAGTATAAACTACTACAAATCATAAAGTTAAGAAGATTTTGTTAACTTAACATTCTCCTCCGTCATTTTTCCTTTTTATAGAAGACAAAAAGGATAATCATACAATGCCGTAAGGGAAATCCCCTTTAGTTATATTAAATATTTATATACTTATATATATATAAAATATATACGTGCATTTAAAAATAAATATTTTCAGAGCAAATATTATCTTTAAGCCCCAAAAAAGAAAACATCCAAAAATATAAAAAAAAATTCGAGTTCTAAGTATTTTTTGTTCAATAAGGACTTTAAAACGAACACCTATACAAACGATTAAATCTTTCTTTTTCGATTGAGTTGCCTGGTTTTGTTTTTCTTTGCCTGGTTACATTTTTTTTTTTGTTTCGAAAACGTATATGTCAAAATATTTTGATTACCAACCAATATAACACCAAATAATTTTAATCCTTGAGAAGTTCATGAAAACGAACTAAATAAAAATTTTCCCGTTTTTTTTTCTTTGTTAGAATGTAGGAATTTCAAAGATTCAATATTATTGATTATTTTTCACAATACTCAGGAATTTTTTCATATTATTCATTCGAAGAAAAGATAAATATAAAACACGAATAAAAAGGAATGCAATCTTATAAATAACATGAAGAATCCTTGAAAAATTTTGCACATTTTTTTTATTGTTTTCCTTGAAAATAACTGATTAATATACGTTTTTCTTTTACATAAGCTTGTTAAGAAAGAAAAATGTAAAATAAGCAAATTTTATGGTATAATATTCAGGATTAGGAAATATTTAAAAAAGCAAGCAAAATTTTTACACGATTCCAATTAATGCGGAGTTCTTAAGCACGTTTCATTAAAAAAAGAAATATTGAACATAAATCTTGTAATTAAGGTAAGAAAATTATAATTTTTTCCTTAAAGAAATTTGCATATTGCTAATTTTTTTAATTTTTATGAGTTAGAGTAGAAAGGAATATAAAACTAATACTTTTTTATACCCTGCACTTCGTGAAGGGTATATTAACTTTGGTATGGAGTTTGTAACTACTTGAAGGAGTCATCTGCAGTATGGACATATATATATATTCTTGCTCAGCGTAAAATTCTGCGTCGATTTAGACATGTCCGTCTGTCCGTCCGTCCGTCCGTCCGTCCGTCCGTCCGTCCGTCCGTCCGTCCGTCCGTCCGTCCGTCCGTCCGTCCGTCCGATCGCACGATAACTCAAAAACGAATAATGCAATCGACACCAAACTTTCACAAGTTTTTTCTTTTGTGCCAAGGACGAGCCCTATTGTTATTGGACTAATTCGGACAACGGGTTCGGGTAGCTGCCATACAACTCAAAGAGTTTATTTTAAATATTTCAAAAACTAATAAAGCTGTAAATATAAAATTTTGTATACATGTGTCCAATTATATTCTACATATGCTCTAAGAATTATAATGGGATAGCTGCACCGGTTCGGGTGGCTGCCATACAACTCCAACAGCAAATTTTTTATATTCGGCAAAATAATAAAGTCAGATTCATGAAACTTGGCAGTCATGTGTCCAATTATAGGTCAAATATACTTCTGAAGTTTTAGAGGAATTGCTTTACAGGTTCGGGTACCTGCCATACAACTCCAGAAGCTAATTTTAAATATTTGGAAAAATAATAAAGTCAGATTCATGAAATTTGGCAGTTTTGTGTCGAGTTATAGGTTAGATATATTTCTGAAGTTTTACTGGTATTGCTTGACAGGTTCGAGTAGCTCTCATACAAGTCTAAAAGCTTATTTTAAAAATTTGGAAAAATAATAAAGTCAGATTCATGAGACTTGGCAGTCGTGTGTCCAATTATAGGTAAGACATATTTCTAAAGTTTTAATGGGATTGCTTGACAGGTTCGAGTAGCTCCCATACAAGTCTTAAAGCTTATTCTTAATATTTGGAAAAATAATAAAGTGAGATCCATGAAACTTGGCAGTTGTGTGTCCAATTATAGATCAGATATATTTGTGAAGTTTTAGTGGAATTGCTTGACAAGTTCGGGGACTTGCCATACAACTCCAAAAGCTAATTTTAAATATTTGGAAAAATTATAAAGTCAGATTCATGAAACTTGGCAGTCGGATGTCCAATTATAGGTCAGCCATATCCGTGAAGTTTCTATAGAATGACTTCACAGGTTCGAGTAACAGCTACACAATAACGAAAGGTGCAGGGTATAATTCAATCGGTTTATACCGACTGAAACGTTTTTACTTGTTTTGCTTTAATTTTCTATATCAGTGGCTGAATTAGACTACTTAGATCGCATTCTGTGAACTTACGTTACGACCTTTAATTTCAGATAATTTTTAATTTACCAATTCCTTCGAGTTGTGTAGATGTTTTAAAGTTCTATGAAGTAGATATAATTGATATCACTGAAGATTTTCAATTGATCTGTTCACAGAACTGGGAGATCTAATTGATATAAACGATTTGGTTTACATTAAACTTTGGTATTAAAACAGCGGGAAAGTGTTATAAAATTTGCATTTAAAAGATTGGTTGGACGAATTTGTTAGTGCACTCAGATTAGATTAGGATTACATTTGCATATAGAAAACAGGTTTATATAATTAATATCGCTCTAGTTATAGTTAGGTAATCTAGATCGCTCAGTCAAAGTGAAAATTATACGACGTAGTGGAGTATTTTATATTAAGTATTTGGTTTATTTGAGCAAAAATCAATTAATTAATTACATAGCTGTAAATAATTTGAAATTTAAAATTCTAAATTGTCAATTACAATAGAGAGCAAAACGTCTTTCAGCAGTAATTTTGGCAAAAAACTGAATTATTAAATCATTTTTTTTCTGCTTCACTCCCTTTGGGAGCATAGGGCTTTCACAAAGCTTCTCCATCGAACTGCATCAGGAGTTCTATTTTTGCCGGTTCTGATTAGTTCATTTACGACCGAACTCCTCCACGTTAATCGTGGTCTTCTCACACCCCTTCTAAAATTAAATCATTGTAATGAAAATAATAAAGTATAAAAAAAAAATTAAATTTACTTATTTACTTACTAAATTAAACTCTTTATTAGGTAAATCTATGGATCATAACATAATTGTATTACTTATTAAATTAACTAATACATAAAATTACAATCATTTTGAAAATATGTTGAGTTTCATTGTTCTTGCCATTAGAATATATTCAATGAGGAGAAAATTTAATGCCGATATGCTGTGCAGATATATCTATCGAATTTTCTACCTTTGAAAGAAAATGGCTAGGCCAGTTACTTAAATAACAATTTCTTAATGGCTGGTAAATGATTAAATTTCGAGCTGTTTAATTTATTATATTCTGATACGTAGGTTTAAATTTTAGATAATTACAAAAAAATTACCTCGAATTTAGCAATTGAAATTTAACAATAATTGTACTTTAATCACTATTTTAGTTTTCCAACAATAAAACAAACAAAACTATTTTTAAATAATTTTTACAAAATATATAAGAAATATGAAAATAAAAATGGTTGCACAAAATATTTTGAAATTGATCCAAATGAACTGGGTCCTAAGTCACTTGATATACCGTATCCATTTGTACAAAGAAAAATAAAAACATTTGACTTTTGAACCAAAAATCATAGCCAAAATCATAGCTTTTTTTAAATATTTACTTATTGTAGAAAAAAAAGTGCATTCGACATTTGATATATTTTCAAAACAAAAAAGAAAAAAAGTAAATGTCAAAATTCGTAACACATCATTGAAGCTGTCAAAATAAACACGAAAAAAACTTGTGCTCAAAAACTCATAATTCAATCAAAACG